TTTACTTGCGTTTTGCTTTGGATGACAGCTGAAAAGCGGAGTTGTTTTCCCGTTGCTGGGCTTCCCGGCTTTTGATTGGTTGCTGGTCAGGCGTCTGGCTGACGTAGTTTCTGGGAATTCCCTTCGGAGATTGGTTACTGCGATGACGTCAGAATGGCGTCCCTTTTGGGGAAGCCCTCGTGGGATTGGTTGGTTGCCGGGTTATGGAAGAGGCTTGAGCAGTCCTGCTTAAAGTCTGAGTTTGCAAGACTTTGAGTTTTGCAGAGATATGAAGCTTCAACTGAAGTGTTTGAGTTCTTAGATGGTCTTGCTGTGCGATGGTACGGCGTGTGGGGGCGCTTTGTCGCGCTCACCAAGGTGAAAGCCAAAAGGTCTAGAGAGAGAGCGAGAGCGGTGTGAAAGCCTTGTGTCCATTTTAAAGCAGGCTGACCTTTGGTCCGCCCCACGACGCGATCTTCCAATCGGACGCTGTTGCAGGACTTAGCCACGCCCTGTGTGGTTCCTTTTTTTCATGCACAAGTCACATGCCCTCGTGGGGCGTATTTCTGGAAGTTTCAAATAACTTCTGATAAAAGTCTTATCATCAGAGAATGATACATAATATCAAATTTTCACTAACACCAATGTTCGGCGAATAAGACAAGCTCTCACCCGATATTAAACTAAACGATATTAATATATCTTATACGCATATTAAATGCTTTGTCTGCTAAAACGAGATATAAGGCAAATATTAAAATATCATGGTTTCAATAACACATCACACACATATATATATATATATATATACGGCATAACACATACAGTGGATACATTTTCACTACTTATGAGTTTTAAATGCTTGTCTGTTAAAATCGTCATGCAAGGTTCTGTTTCTTTTGTTGTCAGAGAAGATTTGTAAGGGTTTCAGACAGGGCAGGAAGCAGGTGGTCAAACATGTGATAGATCCCGTGCTTGCAGGTCTGAGGGCATAATTAAATTACTGTCCTTTTCCTGTTTGGACATAATTGTTCCATCCATTGGTGGTCACAAGACATCGTGGTTTCTATATGTTGTGAACGAACCTTTTCAGTCCTTGATACAAAGAAAGCTTTGTTGTCTCTTGACTGGATCAGTCTTTAATCACTCCTCTGAGTAGATGACGACACGACCGGCAGGAAGTCGACCCAGAATATTGGAATCATGTGCTGGGTGATTAGCAAACCTCATGATGGCTTGATAGGGGCATAATAGTAGTGTCCGTATATGATAGAAATCCCTACAAGTAGATGGGCACCTTTGTGAAGGACAAGTACTAAAAAGAGATGTAGTTCAATAATCTTCAAAGGCCCCACGGAACAGTGAAGACAAGGATTCTTGCCAGCTCTTTACCACATAAATCTTTCTTTTTCTTAATTTGTTCCTTCAGTATGGCTGGATAGTTTCCATCTACAAATATGGGATGAGCAAACCAGCCAAGCATGAAGTTTAGATAACGCTCAGCTGCTGCTACATCCTGATCACTTGAGGGATTCCTCAGCTCTGCCCAATCAGAGTTAAGAGCAATACCCACTTTTCCAGCTTGCAGTTTTCTGTAATTATCATTATAAATATGCCAGGCTTCAGCATGAGATTTTATAATATTTTGTGTCACCTGCAAAAGCACACAAAGAATTGTCACTTTCTAAAATCTGAAAAAAAAAAAAAAATCTCAGATTGACAGACACACCTTGTAAAATGTGATTATTGGGTCTTTCGCTCTTGGGGGATGTTCCCCTGTTCCGTAACCCAAGTTGCTCACTACCCACTGGCTGCCGAAGGTGATCCATGTTTCATCTCCAGCCGCCTGAGTCCTGCAGAGCTTGGGGAAGGTCCCAGTGATGCAGGGTAACAGTGGGCTCGATGCCGGATTGTAGGAGTGTATCAATCATCTTGTCATAATAAGCAACACCATTTTCAACCAAACTTTCTTTGCACCCAGTGTGGAAAATGCGAACCTAGGAAATTGAGAACTGATAATTAGGTGCCATCATGCCCCTAAGCAGATACATAGTCCACCTTGTGATAACTATCACAGGCCAAATCAGTGGTCTGGTTTTCAAAGACATGACCCTCATGGCTAGATTCATCCCAAATGGTCTCGCCCTTCCCGAGTTCAGTCAAAAAGTGTGTGATGTCACAGCCCATGATGTGAAGATCTTTCTTCTGTAAAACTGGCAAAAAAAACTAGGTTAGCATCAGGTATTTCAATTTTATAAAAAGCATCTTAGACATTGGACACATCACTTAAAGAAGACTGTCAGCTGATACATTAGGATGGGCTTTTGACCACTGCCAATCTGAAACAAGAGTGTCAAGTGTCATTCCAGTGTCCTGAAATATTCTGTCAAGTCAAGTAATTTAAGCAGCCTTTAAATATTAAAAACCAGCTGAGATAAGTCTTATGAAATCTGATGATTATTCAATGGGTCGATCTGTTGTGAAGATGATTATATATTACTTCAAGAGCCACAATAAATAATTACCTGCAACTTCCTCAATTCCTGCGTTAGAAGTGTCTCCAATTTGCAGTTGTACTGCAGATGCAGAGAGATGAAATCCACATGTGCCTGAAGACGAGATAAGAGAAGTATGTGATAAATTACATTTAGTCATTTAACAGATGCTTTTGTCCAAAGCGACTTACAAATGAAGACAATGGAAGCAATCAAAATCAACAAAAGAGAATACAACACATATATATATATATATATATATATATATATATATTACATAAAATGGCATAAAATACATAATAATAATAACTATGCAGCAACATAATATATAATGATCTGTCTTGAACACTTACCATGATTTTGGCCCCATTTGATAAATGGAGTTAATATCACTGGCTCTGATCCCAAGAGACAAATGAAGTGCTGAAAAACAAAAAAATATCACTAAGACATCAGCATTGTACTATTATAAAGAACTATGTAATGGGGGTACTGGGATTAGTATATTCCAGTGAATACTAATACTACTAATAACAACAACGTTTTTTTTTCAGCTAAATTTAAACTATAAAACAATTTAGCATGTTATTTATGAAGCTTATGTAAAATGTATCATGCAAAAATATCCACACATTATTTGGTTCAACAGAAATCATAATCTCATAATAATTTGCATAAAATTACATTCAAAATGACAACCTGACTTGATTTATTTATTTTAATAACCTGCCTTAAGAAACTATTCAGGCTTTCATCAGAGCCTGATGAGAATCTGATGAATAAATCAGAATTTATACTTCTTTTGTCGAGAAGTATAAATTGGACTTTTGACTCAAAACGTACGAGTTACTGAGAGTTTGCCATTGACAACTAGCCCTGGTCTGTTTTGTGTACATGAAACATTAATTTAATAATTAATTAATAAACTCATGCCCTACCTTTAAACATTTGATGATAGACATTGTAAACATTTGCATGAGACTGGGAAGCATTTGCACTTCATGTAGCTCATGCAGGTGACTGAATGTGATGATTGTGTCCACAAGATCTCTAAATGCATTGAACACAAATCCTGCATACTGCTCAAACATCTGCACCAGTAATGGATTCTCCCAGCCTCCAAATCTGGCTCTGAAGAGTTCTGGTACAGCAGAACGATGGAGAACCAGCAGAGGTTTGATGCTCGATTCAGTCAGCTGCTGCACGAGCGTCTTGTAGCACTTCACAGTGTCTTCATGCGGCTGGTTGGCATCACCTGAGGGAAGGATGAGAGACCAGGACAGGGGAACTTTAAAGTGGGTCACCCCTCTGCTCTGAAGGTACAGGAAGTAGGCTCTGGATTGTTGAGGCAGTGGACCTCCACAGTTAAACACATTATCTTCATTTGAAGGTGAAGTCTGGCTGGTTTTCAGAGGGCCAGCAAGTAACATGATAAGCCAAGTGGCCCATTAACCAGCCTCAACGATATGTCAGTCTGTCATTATTCAAGACCAGTTAATCATTCTTGGAAGCACAGAAAAAGGAACAATAAGGCATGGCTGCATTTTTTTAAACCAAAGGTTTATTTTAAGATTACAAAATACTTTACAAAACCTTACAAAAAGCATTAGAAAATATAAAAAAAATTGAGATGATCCTGGAGAAATGTATCAAAAGATGGAAAACCTGGCTGTTAACAAACATGGGTGAATTAAACAGTGTCAAGACGACATATTGCATTGGTACCATGTATAAAACATTAGGCTCTATGGCTTTCAAATTCTGAGACCTTATTGCTATTCAATGTAAACTGCATTTGGACCAACTTATGATTTGCATTTGCATAAAGGAGGCTAAATGATACACCAACCTGAAAAGAAACTATAAAAAAAGGGGGAAAAACAAATTAAATGCATTTTTTTAATTAGTGCTTTCAATCGTGTTAAGACATTCTCTGAAAAGCTGAGTTTGCCTTTCTAACAGTTGGTCAAATGAAACGAAATCCAAACTTGTTTAAAGCCTCAGAATATAACAGAAGTAAACAAAAAGCAAACACATAAGACTGAAATGGTAGCCTACAGAAAAGCTTCTTCAAAATAAGTTTGGCATAGTAACCAAAATACTTCTCATATACAGGTTAAGTACCCAAAATGCAAATAGAATATCAAAAGCTTCTTTGTAGATCAATAATTGATTCACAAGTATTCAAGCATTTTCCAGGTTTCCATTTTGTTCATTACAAACATACACTAATTGTGGTCCACTACTCAAAACACAGAACTGTTCTAAACACACTAAACTACACTTCTGATGTGGTTTTACTCTGGCTCGTCCATCTCATTTTGGAATGGCAAAGATATGTAAACTCCAGTTTAAGGCATTTTTGAGATGCAACCCTTGGCACTTCATAAGAAGTGTGGTAAACAAATGAAAGAACCACAATTTATTTTCCCTATGAAAAAAAAAAGAGATGACAAGAAATGAGAGACATTGCACAGTCGCCTAATGACTGAGGAGTATAACAACCATCTTCCTAACTAGCTTTTGGGCACTTTGGAGTATCAGGCAGACTGGCTGATGTCAAGTATAACTGGCTGGTGAGATGTTGCTTTCTGAGATTTTAACTTAGCATTCACTTGCCATAATACTGCACGACATATTCTTACAGATTCACCAGTGTGCGCAAGGACACACATGCTCCACTCGGTTCATACAATGTTCAGCAGCCAAACATAAAATACACAACACGCACATACAGACACTTTCTGCATATCAAGATGAGCAATGCCAACCACAGGTGAGGCGCTTTGTTGCACTGGAAAGCAGATGATAGTCTATTAGTCTCAATCAAGCACGGATCCCTATGAGAGACAGAGAGAGAAAAAGAAAACTCATTAAAACTCACATATCTTCATTCTGAGAAAGTAACAACATTAGTCTCTATTTTGAACCTCTCAAAAAAAAATATATTTGTGTATATATTACACAGTGTGCATATATTTCATTAATAAATTACAGAATAGATCAATTCTAAATATAGAGATGCTTGCATCTACAGTATAAAACTACATTTTATATAAATAAGTATACATATTTTTAGAAGTGATATACACACACACACACATATACCCCTGGTTTCACAGACAAGGCTTAAGCTAATCCCAGACTAAAATGCATGTTTGAGCTGTCTCAACTAGGGCTGTCGTGATTCGTCTTTTTTATTTGACTATTAGATTTTAAAAAATCCTCGACTAATCCTGGCAAAATACCGGAAGTGGTGCATTTCACCGACGAGAGTCCATAAAACACATTATTAGACTGTTTCCCAAGGCTGCATGATATATTAAACCCATTTAAAAATCATAATTAAGCATAATTGTGAATTCACAAACGCTACGATTTAATTAGCTAAATAATTATATGTGATGCAGTTCAAATGCAGTTAGGGGTGCTACGATCAGGATTTTTGAGGCCGATCGCCGATCACAGAAAGCAGTATCTGCCGATACCGAACTTATTAAAGCCTTCTTTTTGATCATTTTTAACTATTTATAGTGATACTTCAATCAGTATTTTTAGACATTTATTCAGGGCCTGAATTTCATTTTTGAAAATGGGGGGAATTCCCATTATAGGTGACTCTTGTGAGAGAGGAAGCAGCTTTCACACAGGAGTCTACTACTGATCCGTGGCAGTTTACCACAAACACAACATTTATCCATTATTTTGATTTCAAACCCAAACACTGTCACTGAAAATGCTTTTTCAGCATTGCAATTCTTTTTTTACACAGTACAGTAATACAATCTTTCACAGACATGTTTAAACAATAAATATAAGCAACACATTATTCAATGCTTTTTACTTTTGTATTTACTTCTAGATTTACATATTAAGTTGCTCAAGCAAGTGGCAAAACATGTAAACTACTTTTCTTATATTATCACAAACTTACCATTGACAGAAATAGTCAGCTCTACTGCCTTTTCTTTTGCATTGAAATCTTTATTACAAGCAATCCTGCGGTTCATAAAGAACTTTGTTTTCCTACCTCCACGAGTGCCATCTATTATTGCCTTGTTTATCTAAAAGTGCTCTTTCCCTTTAAACCTAGCCAACAAAGCAATGTGTTGACTGTGAAACAGAGTAGACTTCAATAATATGCATTTATGGTGTAATTACTACATTTTCGTGTCAAGTCATGTTCATATTTACTGCAAACATTGCACTGTTACTTTAATTCAGCGCTTGCAGCGCAGCAGTAGACTCGGTGCGGAAACGATCTCTGCACTGCTGCAGACGCACTGCTCCTAAACGCACTGCCGGACCGCAACCGTGTGCAGTGAATGTTTTAATCCGTTAACATGAGCGCGGAAAAAATATGCACCACGTATGCACTGCAAACAGAGTAATGTGAACCTGGCATTATGTGTGTGCATGAGCGCACGGTCTCCAGGAGAGCACGCGACCCCTGAATGGTTAAACACTGGCAAGAATTAAAAAGAAATGCAATTTATCAACTTTAGTGATGATGTGACACTGCCTCGATTGTGCAAGTGACAATTCCTGTGTCAACTGTGCAGCTCGCTTATAGTCAGACGCGATGTGTGGTGATTTGAAGCCATTTGCGTATTTTGAGAGAGAGAGAGAGAGAGAGAGAGAG